CGCGCACAAATCAGCACCAAGTAACCCAAACCGTACCGCAGCTTCTACAATCGCCTCCCCTCTGATTTTGCACCAATACAGGCGCAGCGCCTCTGACATATTGACGTCTGACCATGTGCCTCCGAGTGCTGATAGACGTACTCCGTCACCCGTCCACTCCCGCAGAATTCCCTCGCCTCCATGTTGATCAACCCATTACACGGACACGTCCTCAGAAAAACACGAGAAACAAAGCGCAACCCCAAAGATATACCACCACTTCGCTCTGCCAATGATGTGCTTGCAACGAGAGCAGTGGGCATGGGCGGCGACTCACCACCCATCGGCAACATCACTATTGGCTGTGGCACAAACGCAGTGATAACTAGCACTGCGAAGTTTCAACAGCCTAAGTCACGCCACATTAAGGGGGACTAAGGGAGAGATGCATGGTGACGGACAAGTGAGTTGACAGACCCACCAAGTGGACAATCACGAAATCACATCAAATGCCTCTCGGTGGTGCCAACCACATGAAAACAAGGTCGCGTGCAAACGCGACGAGTTGCAGTGATCCGCTACCCATCGGCAACTAGTGTGCGGGCGTCGGGTAATGCTGATGACCGCATAAGCGATGGCGGACCCAGCGACCAATACACCCACGATCTTTCACATCCTTTCGGCCGCTTTTGATCACTGTCGAGACAGCCCGACGGTGCCTTCGATTACGGCCATTCACCTATCCGACAACACCATACAGTGGCTAGATGATGCATAACCAAAAGCTGTACCAGTGGTTTCAGAATTGGGCTCCCTGCATTACGGCTGGCTGTTGGACGACTACCAATGCATCAGAAATGGAGCTATCCAATCTTAGTTTAGGCACGGAGAATCTGTTCCGACCCATTGACAAGACAGAACAGCTAGTAACGTGCCCATTTCACTAAGCGTCTATCCTACCCTTTCCAGGGTGAAATTACTAAAAAAAATGGATTGAGGTGCAATGCCACTGTCGATTTATTTACATACCAGTTCAGTTCAGTTCAGTTACCACCGGCTCGGAAGGTTAGCCCAAGCTAAAAAGAAGAATACTCTCCTACGCACGAAATCGCAGTAATAAGCTACCGACTACAAAAAATTCACTGACCTTTCCAGAATTGCCTCGCGCAATGGCCGCGTTGCATCACCAGCATTCGACTCCGTCAATTGAAACACAGATTCGATCAGCTTAAATTTCAAGCACCAATTAACTATTTTACATCACTCTTGTTAGAACTGAACACTTCGAACTCACTGATAACTCTGTACTCGTCGTGTCTAGACCACAGAATGCCACCCAATCATTAGCAACCAAACCGCTCCCGATTAGCGAGCTGCCGCGATTGACGGACCCTGCGGCAAGAGGAAGTTGCAATAAGCTGCTAAGCTGATCGAGTTCTTCCACACTGGTTTGTGGGTGTACAAGACCTCCGTGATTGGTCAAACAGGAATAAGTACCAACGAGTGCTTCACCAGCCACAACACTGCGAAACACCTCGACGTTCAGGACATCACTTATGATTTCCTCGGTTTCCTAGGCAATAAACATAAAATTTACACGCGGCACACGTGCCTTATCAAGATCCGGATGAATAAGTGCAACATAATCGTTGCACACCACAGTGTTGCCTAAGGCTGATAGGCGTTCCTCAATTCTGACACAGCTTACGCTGTCCGGCAGACTGTTGTTCAAATGTGCCAGTTCCTGATCTGTAGCCGTGTGAGGGATTAGAAGACCGTGCTTGTTTCCTAAATAAGAAATAACCATAACCTACATTGCAACAGCGAAACATCTTCATAAATGACCTATGCAACTTGTACTCATCGTGGAAACAGGCACGAGGACAGTTCCATTTCCGAGAATTCGATCCGACAAATCACATATTGCCGGTGATTTATTCTCGAGATGCCAAAATGTGTATTAACCCTGATACCTGCTGTCAGACATCCAACAGACCGGATCCCAGCAATGCTAGCGTGAACAACCGGAATGCTGTCAGCAAGCTCGGCTTCAAATACACTTAAGCATCATTACTTCAAGAGGCATTACCTGTAAAATCCCTCCGATCCGCCAATTGAAACCAAACAGTACGCATTCGTTAGACGTGCAAACACTCCAATGTCATTATGCCCCTCGAACTGAGCCCGAAAAGCCATAACGGAAAGTCACGCCAGACTAACCACAAGCCAGAAACCAAAATGGTGACCCAGCAATAACTCCGTTGATTAAAACACTAATTATTGGCCCGAAATCCTGCTTCAATAAAGATGATTTGAGCAGATGTAATGCTCAAAGATAATTAT